TATTTTTCGTAATTTTTATGACAATTTTAACCTGATTTATGAGGAGAGCGAGAGTTGGGGGACGGAAGCTCCACGCCACTTAACGTGGTGCAGTCGAGGGAAGCCCGGTCCTACTTCTGAGTGGTTTATAAAAAAATAACCACGAAGAGGATGACGTTCGCTCGCTTCGCTCACTCACTTGAGCCCGTCATCCCCTTCTAACCTAACCTGTCCGAGTCGGGGTGCCCCACGTCCCAGGCTCGCTTCGCTCGCTATTGCACTCAATATAACACCAAAATATTAACTTTTATAACTACTTTAATTTATAAACATAATTTATGGCTGCCACCATTTGTAAGAAAGGATCTTTGCGATATTTAGCAGTATTCCGCCGCGACAAATATTCCACTATTCACCAAAATTCTGAAACTCGGAAGCAATGGCATGACGAAAAGCTGTCAACAAAATCGCCGGCCTAGCGATTAATTTTACACATTTTTAAATGGATTCGAACCGAAATTAGATGAATCGATTCACAAAAAATCGAAATCTTAAAGATCGATTTTTGCGAAATCGATCTTTTTTTGATTTGCGTTAAAAGTTTATATTTACAATATCAAAAGAAACTATAAAGTACAGATAACATTGAATGATTGAATTGAAGAACTGTCATTCTTTACGAGTTGGGGTACTTTCAACTAATTGTAAATAATTTTATAAATATTAATAAAACAGAAAAGATTCAATCTCGATTCTCTAGGGTGAAATATCGATTCACTAGGTCGATTCAGTACTATATATGGATATGACAATGACGGATGAAACGTCAAAAACGTGAGAATTAGTCATTTACCAATATTTGTAAAAAATAATTAAAAATACTTCGTAGGCATGTCGATTCACTCTTAAAAAATCGATCTCTAAATCTATTTTAATCAACGGTACTTGAATTGATTATCGATTAAATCGACTATTAAAAGATCGATTTTCGATTAATCGCGACATTTTCAAACATGAAATTTCAAGAATTTTCGATTTTTTTCTTTAACTTCTAAACCGTTTATTTTATTAAATATAATATTAGTAATCTTATTGATTAACATTACTAATATTTCTTTTAACCACTATTGGTAAGCTTGAAACGCTTGTGTTAGGAGTGGTTCGCACATACTCCAGTCAATCCCTTTTTTTACAAAGTGATTCCACGTAACACTTTTATTTGCCATTTTAGGCTAAAAACAACAACAATACTTTAACAGAAGTGCAAACTGCAACGTACATTTCTCAATAAATCTGTTTTAATCTAATAACTTACTATTTATCATATCGAAATGAATGCCACACGAACACTATACTGGTTATTTCCTTACTATAATCCTCCATAAACTTCAACGTACGGTATAAGTTTTATTTACAGTATCTAGGTATTTAAAAATTACTCTGTCTGTACTTACAGCTCACAGTATGTATATTTTTGATAATAAATAATTTAAATTCACAAGTTCACAGTTCAAACAGTTTCACAGCTATAATATTATATTATATTATGTACAGGAGGTGAAATATAATATGAAAATATCGCTCGGTCGATCGAAAAAATATTTATAATTTGGGATGTAATATATATTACATCTCAGTGGAAACAGTTCCATTTAAAAGTACGGTGAGCTCTATTAATTTATATCTCGAGATGTAATATAAATTACATTATATCCCTTAGTGGAAAGTGGGCTTAAGAATTTTAGAAATGAAAATGAAATGACAACTTTTCGATATTGTTGGATGCGTTCATAAACATTTATTTTATTCAAATATATATTGCGTTCAAATTATCAACCAAGTACGACCGGATGTTTTTGCGTCCCCCAACAGCAAAAAATTAAAAAACTGTGGTATCTTACCCCACCCAGTTTGGGAATTTTAGCTAGTTCTTGTATCAAATGAATCAGTCCGATTCAAGAGGTTTTTGGATCGATTCAGTGAATCAATGCGGTGCTTCGAATCGATCTAAAAAATCGATAATTTTACTCCAAAGAATCGATTTCTCGATTAATCGATTTTAAATCGACATGCCTAATACTTCTTCGACGCTGCTCCGGCAGCAAAAATCCCCCACACAGTGACCGAATTTTCAAATTCAGGCGACCGAATTGTAAACCCAACCCGAATTGTTCGATTGAAGTCATATTCAAATAATATATTTGGTTTGGCATTGATTCAAAGCTATTTTTTAATGGAAACGACGTAATAAGTGGTTCGAAAGTGATATAATTCTCATGTTTTATTTATCCACTTAGTGCCTTAAAATAGCAGGTATCTTCATGAACTATCCAGTGATAATAGAACCGCTGGTTGTTGTCTACAAAATCTAAAAACAAAATACACACCAGAATAGGCTGTATGCGCGTATCCACAGAGTACTTTTTTATATATAGGAAGGCGTATCATAGATCCATTTGACTTTAAGTAAAAAACAATTATCTTATAATTTCATTTCATTTGAATAAAAAATAAATTTACATTTACTTTTTTTCTCTTTAAGTTACTACTCTTATAGGTATCGTGTTTGTTTTTAGGTTATTTCGATAATACTTATGACATTACCTTTTGCTTTGACCGAAGCAGACTCATTTCACTGTTTGGCTGCTGCACGGACCCTTATCTTATCGTTAATGTTCATCGTTTTGTATTTAGTGGACCAAGCCCAAGATTTGGCTGAGCAGTTATATTTGTTTACACAAATTATTCTCAATGTAGTGGCATTATTGCATTTAATTATAAAGCCAAGTTCAGCAAGGATGTACTATGGACTTTTTTATTGTCATCTTTTAGTTGCACTTTGTATTGATTTGTATTATGTAGTCAAAGATAGAGGCTGTTTAATATTTGCTACTGTTAAATAAGTATATTCTTGGTGAATAAACTATGTTATTAGATTTACTAGTATTATTCAATTTTTTACATGTTCTAATGAAAAACTGTCTATATACAAAATGCAAAAATGGGTTATTAAATATGAGTTAATAAAAATAAATTAATACAGCAACTAAATTTGTCAAATTTTTGTTGCATTTAAATCTTATCCTTACTCAAACAATAATCCGTTTATTATTAATTACTATAAAGTGGTAAATTGTTAATAATTTGAAAACTGAAGTATTATGTCATCTTTCTAGGTATTAGCACTTCTTCTAAATATAATACCTCATATTGTGGAGCCTGTTGACTCATGGTATTGTTTGGCCTCTTCACCTACTCTTGTGATGTCTATTTTACTCATGGTGCTTTATGTGGTGGACCAAGTTCAACATGAGGCTGAACTTTATTACCTTCTTATACAACTTATTATTACAATATTAGCTTTGATAAATTTATTTATTGTTGGGAAAATTGTTGGGGCAATATATGGATTGTTTTATATTGATTTAATAATTGCATTTTTCATGGATTTATACTATATTAAGAAAGAAAGAGGATGGACTTTTTAAATATATTTGATTAATGCACTCCATTGAAGTTGAATGAAATGTTACAAGAGTGGTTTGATGATAACATTTACAGGAAACTGTTATCACATCCTATCGCAGAATTGAAATATCTACTTTATAATAGTAACTAGTGTGATGCCTTCAGAGGATGGCAATGTAAGAATTAGACATTGTATAATTGATACCATGTATTTCATAATTAAATTATTTTTAAGAATATTTAAAAGGATTTTAAGAATTACTTTAATTGAGTTGTGTTGGTGTTTTGTAGTATCAATTATAATATTTAATATAATAACATTGACAAGGAAATGTGAAGTTGTGAAAGAAAGTACTCAAAATCCTGTGATATTGTGGTGGACATCAGGATTTCCTGGTACGTCGGAGACTATACACTGCCCAAACCAAATAAAATGTGATGTATTTAGCAACCAAAACATAAGTAATCTCCATGATGTTGAGGCATATTTGTTTTATGCAAGTAGTATTAACTTTGACGATTTACCTCTGCCCCGTCATCCTAAGGAAGTAATTTGGGGTTTATACCATGAAGAGTCACCTAGAAATGTGGAAGAAATGATGCATGAAGAAATATTAACCTTATTCAATTTCTCATCAACATTTAGTCGGTACAGTGATGTCCCATTTCCTTTGCAACATTTAAATTCAATAGATGACATAACAAGCTTAAAGTATTTTGTGACAACACCCGAGAAAAATAAACACTTAAAAAACATTTCGCCTGTAATGTATCTGCAAACAGACTGTGAAACATCAACTGAAAGAGACGCGTATGTTAAAGAGTTGATGAAGTTAACAAATGTTGATTCTTATGGTGTTTGTTTAAATAATAAAGAAATGCCATCTCAGTTCACAGAAGACTATTTAAATAATTTGAATGACGACGAGTTTCTGCACTACGTAGCTAGGTATAAATTTGTGGTAGCAATAGAAAATGGTGCTTGTGAAGATTACGTCACAGAAAAATTTTGGAGGGCTATCAAAATTGGTACTGTCCCCATTTATTTCGGTTCACCAACAATAAGAGATTGGTTGCCTAATGAGAAGTCAGCTATACTATTAGAAGATTTTCCAACCCCAAAAAGTATGAATGATCATTTAGCTAGATTGATGAAGAATGATAGTCTGTATGAGACATACCTGGAACATAAAACCAAGGCACTTATAACAAATCAAAAACTTTTGGAAGAAGTTAGGTTAAGACCTTATCAAGTTGATCCCTTAAAAGTAGCACAAAATTTCGAATGTTTTATATGCAAGAAACTGCATCAAAAAAGAAAAGGTACAATAAAAGAAAGCACAGTGAATAAAAACCATTACAATTGTCCAAAACCAATATCAGCTCTCGCTTTAGATGTGAATCCTTCAAATTCATGGGTACATTCGTTTGAGACCGCAAAACGTAATGTAGGTAGGATACGTAAAAAGGTAATAACTGCTAGCTGATAGTTTTATAATTTTTATTTAAATACATTTTTTAATTAATGTTTCAACTTATTTGTGTACTCTTCCTCATTGGCATACTGCATCCAAAGGCGACACTGGATGAACTTGATATCTCAGGCCTCTTTTGATTATATGTGGAATTTTCTTTGGCACCATACTGTAAAAAAGGATAACACATTGAAGATACTCCCTATGAAAATGATTAAAATAATTATATAATGATTGGAGCACTAAAGTTTTCTTGTGCTAAAAATTACATTTTGACATGAAAAAAATCCAGTCTACCTACAAAAATCAAACGAAAAGAATGATAAAAATCTCGATTAGCCATTGAATTTTTAAGTCGCTGCTATATTCTGGATACATTAAGTTGAAGTTTCAGTTACGTAGTGCTTATTAGGAGTGGCTCTGACAAGAGATTCGTCTGATGCCATGTGGCCGTAAGAAAATCTATCTGCTCATTTCATCCTGTGGGTGAAGCTTTTGAGTCGTAAGGGCCGACTATGGGAAATGCGAGAAAGATCTTAAATAGCTGACAACAGTGCAGCATAAATATATAGTTTCAGTCAGACATAAAATACTCAGCGGCGACAAGCAGCAACGCAAACGTGTGAGACGTCTGGTACTACAATTGTCTACCAGCCTACCAAGACAGTATAAGATAACAGTAACGCGGAAGCGCAACATATATTGCCGACGTAAATGGACTAGGCAATCACAAAACCAAGAAAATAGTAAATAAAACACAGTTTAAAAAAGTTTGTCTATAAAAGTCAAAATTTAAATTCTTACGTAATGCAATCGATGATAGGGCATACAGAAAGGCACAGGGTGCAACCGGTGCAGTCGTCAGTCACGTGCGGTATGTGAGTTTCAGGATCAAATCTAAACATATAAATAATTTTTTAAACTCAAATAAATGAAATCAAAGCTTAAGTCCTATATTTAACAGGAACCACAGTATAATTTTTCGATTTCACAAATTAACTCTTTAAATTGATGTATTCAACGGAACATTATTTAGTCTCTCTTATGTAGGACTTACTTAACTCTATTTGTATTATATTTTTCCAACATTATGGATCTATGACGGATCCGTTTCTGACGAACTCCTAAATCCGTCTGGATTCTTACCACTCGATGTTATTTATCTATTCTGCCAGCTGCCACCTGTTCTGTCCCGGTTTGGTGTATTCCATAGTCCTCAGAGGTGACAACAGTTCTATTTTGCAGGTGTCCCGGAGTAATTGCATTCCATGAACACTTGCAAAGAGCTGCTATTTCATTTGTCACTCTTTAATATAAAAAAGGTATTCAAGCAATATTATCAAATTAGCTATTACGATGACCAGTAAGTAGTAGCCTTGAGGCTTTTGTCTACTCATATAAAAACTAATCGTTTTCTAATTAAAACTCGCGTTACATAACACTTGAGATTTAAGCGACTATAGTGCAAAATATAAAAAGTAAATTAAAGTTACAGCCTATATACGTCCCACTGCTGGGAACAGGCCTCCCTTATTTCTGAGAGGGTTTTAGGGCAAGGAATAGTCTGCCGCGCTGCCCCAATGCGTGTTGGTGATCTTCACATGTCTTCGAAATATTTTTTCTTATTTCTCAGACATGCAGGTTTCTTCACGATGTTTTCCTTCACCGCCGAGCACGTGGTAAATCAGCACTCAAAATTGCAATTAACAATTTCATTGGTGCCGGCGGGGATCGAACCCGTTTGCTCGCGTATTGTAGAATTTACAGCGAGCGCTAACCATCTGAGCTACTACGGCTCGCAAAATATAAACAAGGATTATTTTTTAATTTAATAGTAGCCATTTTTTATTGAATAAGGGTGACAAACACACAGTCTACCTGATGGTAAGTGGTTGTTGTGGCCCATAGACATCTAAATGTATCATCAGTAAATAAACAAAATGCAGATGCGCCCCAGAGGACTAAGATGGAATGCCTCGTTTCCATTGAAAGGAATCTCTGGTTGCTATTTTACGCTGGTGTTCTGTGAGAACGTGGTACTTCCACGATCGTGCCGACCCATTCGTGTTACAACTATAATATACCTGCAGCATGTCTCTACTACGAATAAATTTTAATTTTATAATAAAACCATCACATACTTAATAGCTTGATATCCGGAATCCGCACACGCCATGTAACACTTGCCGCAGTTAATGCACATATCCTGTAATACATAAAATGAAATCATTCGCATTCTCATCAGGCCGTACCTAAGCAATCTATGTAAGTAAGGTAATAAATAGCAGGGACAATTTAACGACCATAACCGCCACGATATCTTTGGCGGATACCACTAGATTTCTTCAGGTGGGTCTACGCTAGAGGAGCCGACCATGAGCCGAGCACAAATTCGTATAGTGTGGACCGACTTACAAGCCTCAAAGGAGCGCGCTTCGAGCGTTTGGCTCGTGCTCGACTGTGCTCCGTCTATTGTCGGTTTTTTGACGAACACAAAGGTATTTGCATCGCATGCATCGATTTGCACGTTGTAGGCTCGTTGTACGTCCACACTTGACACCGCGAGTAGAGCAGCTCAGCTTGTGCTTAGCTCGTGCTCGGCTCCTCTAGCATAGACCCACTTATTTATTTTTGTTGCTCGGCTCCTCTAGCATAGACCCACTTTTTTATTTTTGTAAGGATGAATATAAATATATATAATTATTTTTCTGTCCGTGTATGTGCCTGAGCTTCAGAACGGATGGACCAATTATGATGAAATTTAGTGTGTGTGATTAATTTGATTCGAGAATGGTTTAGATTTACAGTTGGGCCCGGTAGGTGGCGCTATTGTCGAGATTCAGAAATCACCCGTGCGAAGCCGGGGTGGATCACTAGTAGTTGTATAAATTATTAGTACTCTGTGGGTTCATAATAAATAATAATTAGTATATGGCCCAAAGGTCTAGATACCAGGCCGTAAACTCCAAAAAAAATTTAGTGTCATTTATAAATTAAAAAATATACGAGTATAGCACAAAGATTTAAATAGATGCGCCTTCACCTTGAAAACTGTGGCATTATTTTTGGATATGTTTGTTTGCAAGACGTCGACGTGCGCATACTAATGCAATAGTGTCATCTCTTATTATATTACAGAAATTGTGTATACTACTTTCTCTGTCGCATAAACGAGCACTGATTGCGAATGAGTGAGCTCACTCATTTGAGAACGGACACACGGAGTGGTCATGCTATGGTAAGGGCGCATCTAATTATTTAAATCTTTGGTATAGCAACCAACCAACAAAAACTAACAAAAAAAAAATTGAAATAAAATTCCATGGCTAGTTTAAAAAAGTGAATAAAATCCTTACATCATCAATAAGTGCCACGACTTGCTTGGTGTTATCCAGCTTCTTATAAGGTCCAATTCTTGATAAGGCTTCGCCTAAGACATCCTTTATTTTAGGAACTTCTGGATGTCCGTTAACTGCGTCTTTTGCTTCATTGTATTTCATAGAATCAGTCTTCTCACCGTTCAGTAAATCTGATTTTTGCCGGATTGAATTTAAAATTTCTTCCCGCTTTTTCTTGTAAGGTCCGAAGTGACCTAACACCTTTGAAGGAAAGTGACAATATCAGAATAAGTATTAAAAATTTTAAACATTGCATGATCAGTGGTTTTGTTATTTAAGCACAATGCACCTTTGACCAAAGCAATGCAGATTTGCAGATACTCGTACATTTAGCAAACAAAGGGTTCCGTTACGGGTATACATTGTCTGTATTTACATAATTATTTTTTTTATAGTATAGGGTGACAAACGAGCACACAGTCCACCTGATAGTAAGTGGTTGCTGTGGCCCATAGACATCTACATCTATCCTCGATTACGAATCAAAATGCAGATGCGTTGTCACCCGTGAGGACTAAGATGGAATGCTTCATTTCCAGTAAAAAGGGTCTCCGGTTCTCTACACTCACCATACGAAATACAGCAGCATTAAGCTACCATTTCACGCTGGTATTCTGTGAGAGCGCGGTCCTTCCCCAGTCGAGCCGATCCATTCGTGCTACAACTATACGTCTAATATAACTACAGCATGGCTCTACCACGTATAAAAATTGTGAAAATTATAAATCAAATCTCGGAAACTATCATGGAATAATTTATAGCGAAACTATAAAACTACTGCAAATATATTTTACAACTATCACAAAAAAGTCGTAACTGAAGCAAACTGAAGTTATACTAAGATAAATAAAAAATAATAATTAAGAGGTACTTTTGAAGAAAGAAATTGATACAGTTGATGGTAAAACAAATTTTATAAATGTATATCCACCTTTTTCAAGTTTACTTACTTTGCCATTTTCATCTGCGAGCGTTTGCACAGGTTTACCCTTCTGATGTTTGAACGTCGGTGGGGACTGGCCGGTCCAGCCGTCCAGACCCAAGGATCGCAAATATAATAGAGCCTTCAGACCGGTGATGTAATCTTCCACTACAGTAAAGTCTTGGTTCTGAACTGCACTGCAGATCTGCATATGAAACCATGAATATGTGCGAATTAATGAAGGAAGAACCATTACAGCGACGGGCTACAGCGTCCAAGGTACGAGACGTCTGCGAGATTGTCAGTCCGTTGAAAAGCGTGACGATTAAGGCATTTTTTCCATGCACTGAAGGAGGCTCATGTCCAGTAGTGGATTTCTAAGGGTTGATAAAGTTGAAGAAGCGTGTATAATAAAGTTAGTATAAGAGATCAATATGATATACAAAATTTTTAGATCTCAAACTTAAAAAGAAAACGAAAACATCCCAGCAATCTATGGGGGAGCCTCAGCAGTGGATTTGTGATACTTGTGATGGGCTGTAATTAGGGCTGCCACCCGTACTATAATATATAGTTCTCTTCTCTTATAGTTCTTTATATAGTTCTTCTTCTATAGTATCGTGCTATATTCCAGTCAATTGTACTATACTTATGTTATAAAAAATAATATAGAACGAAAAATACTATAGTTTTATTCCTAATTCAACCGTCGCGCTTTTTTATATTAACTGTGATTGGAAGTCTAAAATAAGTAAGTTTTACGGAAAGAACTTTTCCGTCATGAATGTAAAAATGAAAGAAGAAAGAAATAGAGCATGTATTAATTTTATTAAAAATGAATTGTTAATTTATTTTAATATGAATCTAAATTGCTCTGACTCCTATAACTATTTTAAAGGCAATAAGATCATTGATAGCCAAAGTAAAGAGCTATAAAAATATATATGGAAAAATACATAAAGATTAAAAATAAAAATATCCTTTTTTCTCCTGAATTTCTCAAAATTACTACATTTTTCCATCTTTATTGGGAAAACTATTTTGTTCCAAAAAGGTGGCAACTCTAGCTGTAATGATAGTGATAGGCGGTTATTAATTTAATATTTACATAAATCACCCATAATTAACTAAGGCTTTTTTTGGCTACGCATTAAATAAAAATGTTTTGTAACGTCATTCAAATGTGGCTTATAATTTCTAAAAGTTCCCCATATTCAAGTATTTATTTGTTCATACATTCTTTACAACTTCCTTATCTGAACAACAGGTTTCAATAACACTCGGCTCACCGATTGTGGAGAGAGATTAAGTGCCTTAATGGTTTGCACAATTATATCTTCTAAGTCGCTCGTGAAAATTCCCTTAATTTTCATGTTCAAGCGATACGAACTACTGTCGTTAATTCGCTTGAATACTATGCTACGAGTATACCCTCAATACGTAACTCTTCTATGGGGCCGCGAGGAGTTAACTTCTTAGGTATGTGCTCCTCGATCACGTTCATCCAAAAGAGCCTTGGAGAATCTTAACCTTTCGTCTAGGTCCATACAACTCGACCGGTATAATTTTTAAATATGTACATGCCAGTGCACTTACTGTGTTCACAGTAGTTGTGGATTACTGTCGAATTTTTGACGAACGAAACGCAGCCGTTTTCCCGAAGACAAAAAAACGGTTGCAGAAAACTGTCGTTGTTGCAACTGGTTTGAAGACGGCTTTAAGGACGAAACTTATCAAACATGGAATAGAATTGCGTTTTCATTGAGTGAAATATTTGCAGTTTCTAACACCTATGAAAGATTTTCGACTTTACTAACGTTTGTAAACGAATGCGGAACCAAAGGCTACAATAAAACGCGGAACGTTAAGGACGACGATGCGACGTGTGAGATTGATAGTTGAATCATTGCGTTCTCGACTGTATTTTCATAGGCGTAAAATAAAAAATCGTATCAAGTAATTCGAACACTGGTTTGTGCAACGAAGAATGTTTGTACCCAGGACGTAAAACGCTTTCATCGTCGCAGAACACAAAACGGTCTTCGTAAACGTTTCGTCGTCGCAACGCCCACCCCTAGTTCACAGACGTAATATGTGCCTCTTTACCCCTGTCGCTCTCTTGAGCGATACCTTTATATTGGGGTATCTGTGTAAAATACGATAATGCCCCATCTGACATCCATATAGACCACATTTCTTTGCCGTACACGTTGACCTCCTATGGTAAGGTGTTAGATATTAAAAGCAAATATTCTCTTTCTTAACCGCTTCCGATTGTTCACGGTTATTCATATTTTTAAATTTAATACAGCTATCTACTATATATATATATATATATATATATATATATATATATATATATATATATAGGACCCGTGAGGACTAAGATGGAATGCCTCGTTTCCAGTAAAAAGGGTCTCCGGCTCTACACTCACCATACGAAACACAGCAGCGTTAAGCCACTATTTCACGCTGGTATTCTGTGAGAGCGTGGTCCTTCCCCGGACGAGCCGACCCATTCATGCTACAAACTATACTACTAATATAACTGCAGTATGGCTCAACCACGAATAGCACAGTGAGTGAAAAAGCAATCTTTACAACTTCCTCACCTGGACAACAGGAGCCCCGCACAGAATGAACTGTAACGCAGAATCCGCAGAATCAATGCCCCCTATTCCCAGGATAGGGAATCCCGGGAGTTTGTTAGCGATAGCGGAAACAGCACGGAGTCCCATGGGACGTGTTGCATTTCCGGATACTCCACCATAGGTAGTGGATTTTGTGCTACCTGTAGAAAAGAATATATATTTTCTTTTATTGTACTTTGCAACTATACGAGATTCTTGCCAGCGATAGATACAGTACATATCGGATGGTTCACACATACCAACAGCTGGCCAAGGTGTAGCATCAGCTCTAACGGACATGAGTCCTGAGACGGTATTGATTGCTGACACTCCGCTAGCGCCACCTGTACAATAAGTATTAAGTCTTAAAATTATTGATTATTGAAAAAAAAAATGTAAGACTAAGGAAAAGTGTTGTGTTTAATAGAGTACAGTAGTGTACTGTGTGAGTATACCATGCAGTGCGGTGTAAGAATATCCACTACACCATATCATCCCGTGGGTGTCGTAAAAGACGAAAGAAACAGAAGATGGGCAGCAGCACGTTCATGTTAAGAGTTGAAATAATAAAAAAATGCGATTACCAACCCACATGCCAAGCGTGGCAACTGTGGCAAATACCCTCACTTTGAGCTAGCACTTTTATCGACTGGTGTTCTGTGAGAGCGTGGTTCTTCCCAGGTCCAACCGACTCATTCGTGCTACAACCATAATATAGCTGCAGCGTGGCTCTACCACGTATTAAACTCGTAAACACTGCAGATTACGAGGCAATTTCTGGCACTATCATCTTCGTCCACGATTAGACTACATCTAAGCAGTAGGGTGATGTGGCGGCGCAGTCGTCGCGCATTAATAGCTAACAAGCAGAACAACAAGATATCGAACGTAGACAGATAACCCTATAGACTAATGATTAGCGTGGCCTCGAGTGAGAAAGGATGATAACGTAGTTTTAGGTTATACAATAATATTTATGACTTTTAAACATATTTAGATAAAAAATTTAATTGTTCTAAAAACAGAACTGAACAAGATTCACCAATCTTAAGCTCACAGAACTCTTTTTTATTTTTCACTAAAACCAACTTGTAAACTCCTTAGATCGCTACGAACTGTCAAAGTTGTTTAGCAAAGTGTAATTTGCTAAACAAAAAAACCGGCACGGAGAAAGGGACAAACAATCACACCGCTCTGTCTCATTTCTATGCAAGACGTATGCATAAATCTATCTTTTTCGTGTGCGAATGCGAAAGGACGCGTCAATTCGTCTATAGGTTTCTCTGTCTACGATATCGAAGTTTCCAAACGACTCTGCCTGTATAGAACAAGCTTTGAATGCCACACGGTCTGGCAGGAGCCCTGCCCTTTCTTTCCATGGCCAAAGATTGTTCTTTTGTAGTGTGTTATCGATGTAATAGAATCCATCACTGCATTTGGCCCTATGGATTTCGTTAGATGGCGGTATTACCATATCGTTTACGCCGGACTTGAAATACGCATACCGGCAACGGGCAGCAGTATCACAGATGCGAAAGATCTAACTATAATATTTATATTTCCTAGGTATTTTTAACCTAACCTAACAATATGTGAAATTAATTTTGCCAACTCATAAAAAATATTTTAATTGACTTCTACGTCTGCCTTAGACAAATTTACATTTTATTAAGAATAAGGGTGACAAGCACACACAGACGGTAAGTTAATGCTGTGACCCATAGACATCTATCACTAGAAAGAGTCTCCGGTTTACTACACTCAACATACAAAACACATCAGTGCTGCAGCATGGCTCTACCACGTATAAACATGATATTAATTTTATATCTTTACTCTAACGCTCGAGGAGCCGTGGTAGCTCAAGGAGCCGTGGTAGCTCAGATGGTTAACGCTCGCTGTAAATACAACAGAACGCGAGTAACCCGGGTGCGATCCCCACCGGAACCAATAAAATTGTTAATAGCAATTTTAAGTGCTGATTTACAACGTGCTCGGCGGTGCAGGAAAACATCGTGAGGAAACCTGCATGTCTGAGGAATAAGAAAAAAAATATTTCGAAGACATGTGAAATTCGCCAACACGCATTGGGGCTGCGCGGCGGAGACTTCCTTGCCCTAAAACCCTCTCAGAAATGTGGGGAGGCCTGTGCCCATCAATGGGACGTATATAGGCTGTAACTTTATTTTTTTACTTTACTCTAACGTTAAGCTTCAGACACTTACCTTCATGAGCTGCCATTGCAATATTGACTATATCTGTGATGTTAGGTGTGAGTTTGACAAAGAAAGGAATCTTGATCGCTTTTCGCACCCATTGCGATATTCCTTTTACCAAAACAGGATCCTTGAAATGAAATGGCTCTTTAATATCCAAGCTTTATTACATTCTAAAAATATCTTTTCTTTATTCATGGGGATTGTATAAAAACAACGGAGTTTTACGATTTATTCCGAAATTGAAGGAGATGCAGGGAATCTTTCATGTTCCACAATGTCTTTTTTAAATGGCATTGCCAAATTGTTGAAACTTCTTATTTATGTGTGTGATGTTAGTTTTCCAAAATGAAAAACGAAATTGATAATTTTTATAGCAACTAACTAAGTATTATTTTAGTATGATGGAACGAACGGAAGAAATGATTTAAAATGCATTTGTCGGTCACATCTAACAAACTTTTCATAAAATATCAGTGATTCTTGGCTCAATTTTTAAGAAAGTAAAATAACTATTAACCTAACGAAATAATACGTATCGAAATTTTACATTTTTAATTTAAAGTTATATTTAAACAATATGGATAATTTGTCAAACCCCCCGGCCACACACTCGTCGAGTGGCATGGAAAGTAGCGAGGAAAAGAGGCAGAGACGTAGTGTGGCCACAATACTCGTCATGCCGCACTTTATGCTCCTCGTCATGCTCATCACTCCCTGTTTTGTCGGTTTTTGGGCCCGAGTTAAAGGAGTGGCTGGTCACAAACTCATCAGTCGTCACTCAAGCAAACACAATCTACAGAGTACTTTCAAATATACTTAAACTGAACTGAACTAAACTGACGCAGTCCGAATCATAGATAAGAGTGTACGGTCCGAATCGTGCGCTCGTTACGGAAGCACGTCATGTGTCATTTCAAATCATAAATAGTGTAATTATCACCATCATTCAGCCATAATATCACATGAGTGAATAATATACAGAGAAAAAGCTATCTCGAATACGACACCTTATATTTCTTTTTATGACATTCATATAATTAGCTATAATAAATATGCACGGCTCCCACGCTGCAACAGTTTCAATATCCATTGTATTGCAAACGCGAGCGATCTAGTGCGGAGCGCCGCGATTAATTGCGCGAGTAGAGCAGTGTGTGGGCCATGAAGGTTAGGGAACAGGAGAACGATCGCCGTAGAAAATAGTGTCCCAGAAATATGGACACCATAAGTGAGGCTCTGCGATCGCTAAGTTCGCTCAATAAAAGTAATTTTCAGTCTATTTTTCCGATCAGATACTAAACCATTTGCACATCCCCGCACAATAAAAAATTTCTCCATTTGTTAATTTTTATTTTTGTCAAAAATTACAAAATTAAGGAGCATGAAAATTTTCTCACCAATGCCGCGGAGAAAATTTGTACATTATTCAACTAACTTCATCTACTTGTACTCATAAACAGCTAACTTCGCAACAACAACAACAACTCATCGACGTCAGCGCCGCTATAAATTCTACAATTTTCAAGGACAACAAGGCGGGCTATGCTTTACTACGTCGTGATCGATCTCCTGTTGATGCCATGTGAAAATCTCCCAAGAAATTCTCATTGTGGCGAATTGGCATATTGTAAAGAAGATTTTGTAATAAAATATTATAATTGATAATTTCTTATTACTTGACACTGGCAAAAGTGCAACCGTACGAGGCCATAACCAACAGTAACCAAAGAAAGAAGGAAATACTCGCCTGTCCGCAGGCTAGCCCCATGCCGGACTCACCCATGCCGTGCGGACACGACAGGTTGAGCTCGAGCGCGTCGGCGCCCGCCGCCTCCGCCCTGCGCGCCAGCTCGCACCAGTCGTGCTCGTTGTACGAGCACATTATTGACGCTATCACCACCTGATGCACCACATAATCTTACTTTGCATATGCGAGTCGACATTGGCACAGTGCTTTCATCTTAGCGCTTTCGAAGGCTTCAAATTTCATTACAACTCTTAGTAGAAATTGTTATAAAGTACTTTGAATATCTATCCATTCATCAATTACAACCTATTAAAGTCCTCTGCTGAACATAGGCCTCCCCCGTAGATTGCCCTTTTTGAATATTTTTATTTGCTATTGGCAATAAAATATAAAAAACTGCAATGTTTTTAGTTGTTATTAGAAAGAAGCTGCTGCCCATCCGCAAATAAAGTAATGGCGCCTTTTTATGAGACAATAGCTAGCGAGGTGTCGTAAGGTATTTGAAATCTATACAGATAACTATCGCTTATAACGAATACAATATAGTATATAGTTAATCTATGCTAATAATGTCAGAGAACGTGATGCCATTACCATCGAGCACGTTTTCAAATACAGTAATTGAATAATAACATCATTAAATTGTATCTTTACTAAACATTTGTGACGTCAATGGCTCATTGGACAAGGTGGCCATCGGGTATAGTTTGAAATGCAGGATTTCGTGTGTAGGTATTTTATATTTAACCCAACCGCAACAAAATCGGTATTCTTCTGTCACTCACTATTTCAATCAAAGCAAAGACAACACTTCAATTTACACGGAAAATTAAAGCACTGCTATGAGTAGACATAAAGACGTGAAAGTTACTAATGATCTGGTGGCCAAAAACTTTGTGAACTTTTCAAAAATGGAAAAGCACCTATCTAGTAACACCAGCTTAGGTCCCAATTTACATAAATCATTCCAAATAGACAATAGATTCAATGTAAGGAATGAGGGTAGAAAGTTAATATCTCACTCGTTCTAGCGTAGACAGAGAAACCAATATAGACCAATGATTAGCGTGGCCTCGAGTGAGAAAGGACAATAACGTAGTTTTAGGTTAAACAATAATATTTATGACTTTTAAACATATTTAGATAAAAATTTTAATTGTTCTAAGAACTGAGCTGAACAAGAGTCACCAATCTTAAGCTCACAGAATACTTTTTTTCTCACTTAAAACCAACTTGTAAACTCCTTAGATCGCTACTAACTGTCAAAGTTGTTTAGCAAAGTGTAGTTTGCTAAACCAAAAAAACCGGCACGGAGAAAGGACAAACAATCACACCACTCTGTCTAATTTCTATGCAAGACGTTTGCGTAATATTATCTTTTTCGTGTGCGAATGCGAACGAATGCGTCAATTTGTCTATAGGTTTCTCTGTCTACGCGTTCTAGCAGTGTGACGCGGTAATTTCGTCAATCACGTTATATTGATGTGTTATTATGCCTGTGATATAATAAGGTATTGTGGTATTGTAAACACGCTGCCCTGCTATATAGTGCGGTACATAGTCTTTTTATCGTTGATAGAGTTTCATTGCGCGAACAGGGGAGCGCGTTTAACATCCACTTTCACATTATTATTATTTTAAAATAATCTTATATTATATTTTTAACATTAAAAATGAGGTAATTTTTAATAATTCGTACCTTATTCGGAAAATCCCTTTTTAGTTCCGCGATGCTCTGACACCAATACGCCTCGCACTTTTCGGAGATCAGCTCGATGTTGAGGAAGGAGCCTTGTCCCGGTCCGTAGTTCTCTCCGGAAGTAACGCCGCGAACGATGCGCGGAGAAACGTTTGTCACTAGATCCTGTGATAATATTTAAAAATAAATTAACGTGCAATGCATGAGTGGCGTTGGCTAGTTTTAGAGGACAGATGTTTAAAAGCAGTAAGCCTAACCACACAATATAACAGTATTATCTATTGATAGGATCAAAAAACATCTTGTCAAAAACATCTTGATAGCTACGATGTAAAATTTATTTTGTGATATTTTTTTTATTTATTTAATTCACTACATATTGTTGACGATTTGGATAGACAACAATACGTTGTGGACTTTTTTCGTTCATTGTCAGCGTTGCGGAATAACATACTGGATGACCTTTTAAACATCTGGAAAAAATAAAGTGTAAGATGTGAACGGAGTAGAAGCCTAAGCCCTTGAGCCTATAAGGGAACGTCCATTAATCACGTGAGACTCGATACGGGGGGGGAGGGGGGGGTCGAAAAAAATCACGAAACATCAGCAGGGGGAGGGGAGGTGTAGTGAGATATCACGTGCATTTTTTTCCTTGAACGCGCCATTTCTAAACTGAAAAGCGGCGCGTGATCTTAACTCGCCGTTGCCAGGCAACGATTCTTCCTTACCCGATTTTGCAGTCATCCAGTGACCTATATATTCTGAAACCTCAACAGCATGATGGCAAGAACCTTGCTACATTTCTTGGCGTCAGTCTTTTGGTATTATCCCAAATCAAGACGGCTTTGACAAATTTACTTTTGACCTGTATTGACCTAGCCTGAAGAAGGATCGTCAGCAGCTTGTGAAAAGGACACAATAGTTAAACAATCGAAATGTTCATATATGATTCATGGGACAGAGTATGGGTTAAATATATTAATTTGCCAGCACATTATACGTTTTTCACATGATTACGCCTTTCCTTTATAATTCTTATGCCAGTCGAAAATAACCTGCAACCTTAATATCAGTCTGGACATTTTTATCACGGTCCTTAATATTCCAGAATTAAATTACATTATACCTGTATTTACAAATAATATTCTGAAAGTTGGTAATATACTTGGTACCAAAAATACACATGATTTTGGATGAGGGAGGGGCCTTAAGGAGGTTAGCCTAAAACCTCACCACGTATCACCATAGGAAGGGGGTTAAAAAGTTAAAAAACATCACGTGATTAATGGACGACCCTGCGAAGTGACAAGGTCAAAGACGCCTACCTAAATTAATGGTTTTGTTGCCATTCGTAAAGTAGGGTGGATGTGATTTGAATTTCGGTAGATTTTAATTAATTAATTTTTTTAATTTAAAATGTTTATTTTTATTTTTTTGAAAAATCAGTACTTTCCACTCCGTTCACATGTTACAGCCTATTTTTTCCAGGCGGAAAAAAGGGTCATCCAGTATAATTCCGTTCCTTAGATGTGAGGAAAAAAATGGATTATGAATTGAGGATTTCTGCGACGTCAAATAGGATATTTTACATTTTGTAAAATAAAACCTAAAAATATATATATATTTATGATAGATTTTGTAGAAAGTAAACAAGAAATATTGATTTCTGTTTATAAAATTGCATTATAAATTTAAAATTTCCATATTAAGAATATTTTTTTTTCACCTCTTCCTCAAATCTGCAAAACGCTGTCGGCCATATTAGAACATGTCGTGACGTCGCTTATCCAGCCTAAGGATATTAGTGTTCTGTGTCACTGATTAAGAGAACTAGCTAACATGCTGTGTTATTTCGAAATTTTTAAGTTATCATTATGATTATTGAGTTTTATTCCGAATTTTATTGAAAAGGCATCATGGAAGACGAATTCGTAAAAACAGAAAGTACTAATCTACCAAGGATAAATAAATTGATGATGGCTAAATTTTTTTGCATGTAATCCCAATTTTTGTTCTGCCGAGCAGGTCAGAGTGTGATAAATCATAGTTTAGTAGCTATCATAGTTTAATTTATCTATAATTACAATCATTAGCAATCTAAAAATAAATAATCTAAGTTAACGTAATTTATTACAAAATTTGACTTGCGATACCTTTCACCTCATGATGTTTTGTATTGAACTTATTAAACGATAGTTAAATATAAATCATACTTACATCAAAATTATCTTCACAGAAGTAAAGTTTAGATTTTGTAGACAATGTCTTCGGGTCTCTTCTTGCCAGTTTTAATCAAGTATTTCTCATATTTAAATCAGTTGGCACTTTAATCTATAACTTTCCCGGCGTTCTTATGCTCGTATTTTTGCATTCAGGCACAACACAATAATGATATAGATGATAACTCATTATTGAACATTAAAAAGTATATTATTCCTTTGCAAAATCGACAGAATCGACGACTGTGACGTCACGAGTTGAACAACATGGCGGCTAGCGTTTTCACGCGAAAATTTAAAACGATAGATTAAAAGTAATTTTTATGACACTATTCGGTTTTTATAAAAATATATAAAAATTATAGTGGTTCATTATTACTCTAGGATTAATTTAAAATAATTTTTGAAAATGGGTAAAATACCCTATTGGAAGTCACTTGAGATGATGCTCAAAAATGAAAGTGACTTTAGTTTCCTTTCCTTCTTTATAACTATCAATATTTACCTTATCAAGTCCAAACGTTTTAGTGACTGCAAAACCCCATCCCTGTTGGAAGGCGCGTCGTATCATAGCGGAGCTGGTGGTTGGCGGAGCGCTCGCTAGACCGAAAGGATTCTCGAATTTAATTCCGCAAACCTCTACTGACAAGTCCACTTCATCTATCGGACAATGGAATTTTGGTAATTCTATTGGAGAATTGAAGGGCAGTCCCTGAAAGTTAGTTATTTTTTGATAATTATTTAAACTGAACATTGAATAAAACTTATTTATAACCTGTAAACACGGGTCTTAAAAGTCCCGAATGGTGTATGTTCGTTCAGATTATGATATTTTTTTTAATAATCATCATTCATTACAGTCTATATCTACTATTGAAAATAGGATTCCCCAATAGGTTGCTTCGTAGACGAGCTTTTTGTCATTGTAGCACTTGGCAGACGGGTTAGTAACTGCAGTTTTTTACAATATTACGTTATTATCAGGTAGATATGGCTGTCCATCTTTTTTTAAAGGATATGAATAACAAACGTCCATTATTTAATATTTTTTTTATTTCAATTCAAATAATCACGCGGTAGAGCCACGCTTACAGCTATATAACGGTTGCAACACGAATGGGTCGGCTCGACCGGGGCAGGACCACACTCTCACAGAATACCAGCGTAATGCTGATGTTTTTCGTATAGTGAGTGTAGAGAACCGGAAACCCTTTTAACTGGAATCGAGGCATTGTGGAATTTTTTAGATTGTGGAATGCCTCGTAAGCCATAAAAAGAGTCGGACTCGTGTTTCATTTACCTCCATAAGCTACATAGGTAAATGAAACTCTTACAATAACTTACGACACCCACGGGATGATATGAGGGAGTAGGCTTCTATACACGGCAGATAATATACATACATACATACATACATACACTCACGCCAGTGACCCAGAGGGGTAGGCAGAGACTATAAACTTCCATTTAGCACGATCCTGACACACCTCTCTCGCCTCCTTCACATTCATATACCTACGCATACATTCACTTCTGCATCATAAATTTTCTTTGTCACCCTTTCCTCATTCATTCTTTCCACATGACCAAACCACCGAAGCATTCCTTTCTTAATCCTGGTCACAACATCATCTTGCAAACCACACTCTTCTCTTATCTAGCAGATAATATAATAATTAAAATAATTATTTTTGACTTATTTTTGTATAATAATATCCACCATACCGAATTTTCGTCAAGTCTCAACGGAAACTAGCCATTTGCACACGAGAGAGTTATAGTGCACAAAGGTGTGCGAAAGCACAGGTCAACATATTCCGATGGATATTTTTGTAAAGTTTGGTATTTTTGTAAAGGCGTGTGAGAAGGACATGAAAACTCCCACGTTTAACGGCACCTACATGCGGTGCATACTGCTTTATAACGGGTCGACAAATGATGGTTTACCTCTCCGAAAATGTCGAACCCAAATTTCGAAGACTGGTGATGGTGTTGCTAGCGCTTTCAAACAATCGTGTCCAGCGTGGTGAGTGAGAGCAAATATTTCAAGCTACATACATACATGAGCCGTGGTAGCTCAGTTAGTTGGTAAGCGCTTTAAAGTCTGTTAGATCCTCGCCGGCACCTATGAATTTGTTGATTCCAATAAGTGCTGATTACCATATGAAGAATAAATCGTGAGAAAATTAGACGTGAAGCACACGCATTGGGGCAGCGCGGCGGACATTTCCATGTCCCAAACCCTTCTTAAAAATTATAGGGGCACGTTTAAAGACTGAAATTTTACTTTTTCAAATTTACATACATACTATTAAACAGATACAATAAAGAGAATGGAGATGCAGAGATGGATTACGGAAGGCTCTATTTATGCGTTTCCATTAAAAAAAAACACCACAACATTACACATTTATTTACCGATATTATACATTTACAGTCTGTTCGCTCAGATACGGTATCTTTTGTTTCGCGCCGCCTTGGCACGTGCCGTATCTTCGCCAAAGGCGCCGCCGCGACATCAAAGATCCGAGGCCGAGGCATTTTAAAGCGAAGCGCCGTGTGAAAGCACAAAATAAATAAGTAAAAGGTTCTTTGTTACTTAACTTTTGGTTATTATTTACATTCGTATTTTATTACAATAACCATAAAAATAAAATAGTATTCTATTTTATTCTAAGAATAGAAAGACATTTATTTAACAAACACATTAAAAATAATAAAATAAAAGCAAAGTAATAAGTGCGCCTCCGAGTGGACCGACATTATCTTAGTGAACAGACTATCTAGCTACCAAAAGTGTCGCAGGTCCAAAAACCGATTAATAGATTTTCCTAATAGAGTTCTAACATTCGTTTATTACATTTACTAACCTGTAAATAGCAATGCATGTACCACGCAGCGGTTTTACCGTCGTTGACCGCTTCAACTGTGGTCTCCGCGACTCCCGCCAAATCACCTCCAATAAACACTTTCGGATTGCTCTGACTTTGCATCGTTGTATTGTCCACTTCCGGAAGACCCCAGCGGTTTAGTTTTAAACTTGACATCGCCGCTTTAACTGATGAAATTGCATATGAATATTTTTAAAACTTTTTATCATTATAAAATATTTAGAAACTATCAAAGAACATTGATGAACACTAGCCAGCTACCTTCTTTTCCCGTAAAAGCCAACTACAGTACATAAGTATCGTTCGTTGTAGGCAAAAAAGCCTTGCTTGCCTTGATCGTCACTCTTGGCAGGCGATTTGACCATGTCAGTATCAGACGTATCGCACCTTTGACACTGCTCCAAGTTAACGGTCTGGATATATTACGGCTGGGGCAAACGAAGTTATAAGTTCTTTTTAGCACATCCCATAGTCGCCTCTTACGGCACCCACGGCACGATATAAGCGCATGAAGATCATTGATGCAACAGAGGCATTTTTAAAAACATATATCATTCTCCAAACATGGCATTTATACTAAAGGTAACACAGAGTAAATAATAGTGACGATACATTAAACAATATAATAAGATATACATATGAACTCCTTATATTTATACAAGGCGCGAATATTATTCGGGTAATATTATCCTAACTCATTGTAAACCATACATTTGCCGGTTACCAATGAAATCATCATCATCAACATTACAGTTCTTTTCAAGTCCACTGCTGAACATAGGCCTCCTCCAAGGAATGCCACAAACCACGGTCCTGAGCCACCTGCATCGATCGACTTCCTGCATGTCTTACCAGTGAAGGGTCGACCTACACTTCGCCTACCGGTACGAGGTTGCCACTCGAGAACTTTTTTTCCCCATCCGTTACCGGTTCTTCGAGCTATATAGCCGGCCCATGGCCACTTCAGCTTACTAATCCATTGGGATATGTCGTTCACTCTGGTTTTATTGCGGATATCCACATTTATAAGTTTATCACGTAGAGAAACCCCGAGCATAGTTCTCTCCATAGCTCGCTGAACGACTTCGGGCGTCCTTATATGGCCAGCAGTGAAGGACGACGTCCAACCAATAAAATGATTAACTGCGATTTTAAATGCTACATGCTCCAATGTTGAAAGAAAACATACTGAGGAAATCTGGGCGTCTAACTGCACTGAAACCCTCACAGAAATGAGAGGAGACTGTGTCCAGCCATGGGATCTATAAGGGCTGTTGTTTTCTTTGCTTTTATTGTGTCACTACAACTGATGAGAATTAAAAAAAAATTGATTTGCAAAGCGGCCAGATTAACTAAAAAGTATTTTATTAAGGTGGATGAAATATATTGACCTCGGTTTATTATTATCCTTACTAAATCATTTCCAGAGTTAGGTATACAGACGTATCATTTCATATTATCCGTATTGCTTTGAATAAATAAGATAAAATGAAAATTCATTTACCGTCGCTGTCATACAGTCCGGAGCCAAATGCCGATATTATGAAATTTGTTTTCAATTGTACCATTTGGTCCGTGTCTTCAATCCAATCCCCGTTTTCGAGTTGCTCAGTGCGGCACATTTTCAAGCCTGAAATCTGTTCAACAGAAATGATACTCAATCTATCTGACAATGATCAAGAATGTCAAAGCTGTATCAATTTGTTCATTAGAGGAAATGAGAGCGGTAAGACATTTAAATAATAGGTGTTTAACAGATTGCTGTCGCGTTTTGCCTTCAAGCTCCCCGTGAAAAATTGACGAAATCATCTTCTTGCATTCTCCTATTTCCTCCTCCGAAAATGGATCGATTTTAATTATTTTTAAAAACAATATAAGAAGGATTTCAATAGAAGGAGGAGGTTGTCTGTATGTTTTATTTTTAAAGTTCGTTAAAATTGTTTGCTGGCTGTCTCACGACGGCTGTATAACTGGACAATTTTACTAATTTTAGATGGTACTTAGTTAAAAAATATTTAAAATATTATAGCAACATGGCAGTGGTAGATATAGATTGTACCGTGAAACAAATATTAGCCCTAGTTCCACGGACTCTAAAACGTGTACTTACATGTGTGCGTACATATCGGACTCAATGCAACTCCTCAATGGAATGATAAAAGTAAATATTTTAACCCCTCAGTCCCCTTAAAATTCTCATGCAGTCGCATGCGCCCGGCAAATCCCGAGCGGTCGCATGCGACGGCACCCACCCGCAGCACTTAAAACCATTAAAACGTATATTTGGAGACTACTTTTCTATGAAGTTTGGCATTATAAAATCTATACAAAATTCTCTATATAAAAGTCAGGTTTTACAAAAAGGCTATTGTATTTTTATAGCAAAAACAAAACATACCAAGCGAATGTCGGTAGCGTGAAAATCACAATTATTTCCATATAATATATTACTCGAAATTATTTACGTAAAAAGATAATTTATATTCACACAAAAATTATCCTTACAATTTTATAATAAAACACTATATAATATAATATATACTAAAACACTGATAAAACACTAGAAAAATCAAAAAAATCAACACAATAACATTCACGCGAAAATGACGTACGAAATAAACGTAGATTATAAATAAGTATATATTTGAAAACGCTAATAATAAACGACATAGGAACAAACTACGTACAAAACCTCATAAAACAGCCCTGTATTCAAAAAGTTTCCTGGGTATGGCTCCTAAAATTTTTAATAAACTCCCAAAAAATATCAAAGAAACTGATAATATAGACAAATTTAAGAATTGCTTTCGAGTTTTTTAATATATAAAGTTATAAAGCATACTACTCTATAACGAATACTTTGAATATACTTTGGGTTTTGTACCTACAATAATTAATGGATGATTTATTTTTATATGTTTATATTTATGTAATTGATAATTAAGATAATAATTAATGTTATTTCTAAACATACTAATTATAATTAAAATTGTTATTTTATTAGAAATTAATTTTCATATTGCCAGGTGATAATGATAACCAAATATTTGTATGCCTTTTAGGGCGAAACATAGTGTTACTTATCATAACTTTTCCACCAAGTTTGTAACTTTTTACCTATGTTTTACAGATAAATTATTTGATTTGATTTGATTTGAAGTATTCATAGGATGACAGTTTTTTATTGCACTAGAGGATAGAGTATTTCATATTGATTATATAATGCCAAACTTCTTCATAGAAAAGTAGTCTCTATATAAAAGTTTTTATGGGTTAAATTGCTGTTGGTGGGTGCGAACTCATGAGACCGCTTGGGGGCTGAAGGGTTAAATGATATATGTTGTGAAAAATTATTTTTACCTTGCCATTTTTAACTATCACCTCCTGGGGTGACATGAAAGGCATGAATTCGCACTTCTCTTCCTTTGCCAAATCAACCTGAAAAAAAAACAAAAAGAAAAATAAGACAACGCGGTGTATTTTAAAGGAGTCGGCACGAGTCATAAGCGCTGGTCAATTTTAAGAGGGTAGTTTGCGTAAGTTGACTTTTGAACAAAGTTTAATAGCAGAACTCTATAAAGAGAAGCTAAATATAAAGAAGATTTTTGTTTAACTTAACAACGATGCCTACATTAATTATTAAATAACAATGTATCAATCGATCAGCAATCCAGATAATCGATTACTGTCGTCACTTCCTTCTTGTCATATCATCAAGCATTAAATTAATTAACATTTAAAAAAACTGCTTGCTAAAATAAACGCGAAGTTAGAAAGTTAAGGTTAGCGTTTATGATTCATACCGCGTAACCTGCATTGAAATAATTTTTTACGTAAAACAATTACCTCTTCAGGCACAGCCCTAATGTTGGTGAAGCCCTTTCTGAAGGCGACGAAGACTCGACGCGCGCCGCAACGCAGTGCAGAGGTTGCGCAGTCGAAAGCTGTGTCGCCGGCTCCCAGCACCACCACGATACCGTGCAGCTGCGGGAGCGTAGACTTGCATGCGCACATGCCTGAAGAACAAGTTTTCCTCTATATTTAGGGAAATATACAATATATAACATAAAGTCTGTTTGGCGAGAGTTCATAAAAATGCAGGGTTCCTGCCGCTGCCGACTGTTGGCTTGCCCGCTTGGCCTTGCGCTTGAAAACAGCTGCGAGCTTTCTACCACGAAACTCTGTGCTTGCGGCGAACTCTGCACCCCCCTTTCCCAAAGGGGGGTTGCTTCCGATACGGCTGAAAGACCTTACCAGGTCAAAGCCAGTCTCAGGTGGTGTTTAGTGGGTAGGCACTGAGGTTTCTCAGTGAGTACCACATAACCACGCAGCCAGCTGCGGGATATGCTTAGAGCATTCACCACCTCCCTCGCTTTCCGGAGTGTAGCCCTTTCCTTTGCTTATGCGCGCAAGATTATTATTGCGGCGAAGAGCGACACCCGTCAATCAGGTTGCGATACTTAAGTGTTCACTATTGCGCGACTTTTATATAATATTTATCCTAGCCCTCGCCAAACATGTAACTTTCTTGATCAAATACCTTTTTTGCTTCCTTTAGATACTAATGGCAAAAAGTCCTTGCTGGTGAAGAAGCCCATTTCCTGTGTGAGACCCTTGAAAATTGGAATGCTTGTAGGTTCAGGCAATCCAATACCGAGAAATACTGCTGCATGGCCATCTTGTAAAAGACCCTGAAATATATCACATAATTACTATCCGAAATTTGAGGTAAAAAATGCTACCCTAGCGTGGTCGGTCTTGAATCTCACATGGACATATAAAAATAATAACATAAAATTTAACCAAAAAAAAAAAACATCGGCAAACAATTGAAAATGGTAAAATAATAAACATCATTAACTACAAGGAAATGAGAAACTTACATCAACAGTAATATCATCCTTAGCCAGCTTCCTCCCCGTTACAAACTTCACTCCCAAGTCTTTGACAAGGCTTACTTCGAACTGAACCACATCATATGGTAGACGATATTGAGGAATCTCGGATGAACTAATAAAAATAATACATAAATGTGGAATTTTTATTTTATGTTGCAGTTATTACATACTTATTCATTTCCTTTGACACATTTGCCGTTACCGTTACAACCTATTAAAGTCCACTGCTGAACATAGACCTCCAACATACGATGGACTGCCTCATAGGGGATATTTGCCATAATTGCCACGCTTGGCAAGCGGATTGTTATTAAGAAGACGCTGCTGCTCACCTCCTGATTTATTTCTCTCGGTTGTCTCTTACGAAACGATGATACAACTCGCGGCACGAAAGTCTAGCGGTGACCGTCATTGCACATAATTGCCGTATTGCGCATTATTGCGTATGATTGGCTGTGCGTATCGTTCGAACGCTCTGGTTGGCTCTCCAGTCGCATTCCGCCCCACGAACTGATAATACATTCGTAGCTGTCCCCTCCACGTTTCGTTCAGCGCTAGAGTTACGTGCCACGATTTATATGACGTAGTAGCCACTAAACGGTATTATTTTTAATTAATATAATAATTAACTTTGGATATACGATTCTTCTTTTTTTAATTGAAGTAGCAAACTAACTTATAGTCCAATTGATGGTAAGTAGATACTGCCACACAAGGACACCTGCAGCCAACTTTGAGTAAATAACGCAAAGGCACAAAGCCTGTAATTACACTCGCTCTCAATTATCTTTAGACCGGAACTAAACAGTGCACGCACTGCTACTTGACAGAAATAGGTAAGAAAGTGGCACCTATCAGGACCAATAGGCAGAAAATTGGTCCTACCGCTGAGTGAACGTTACCTTCATATTAGGAAATTCTCATTTATCATGTACGCGTCCTAAATAGTTCATCATTTTGATTACAGCCTATCAAAAGTCCAGTAATGGACAACATTTTTAAGAGGGATGTTGTCATATACTTACCCAAAAACTGCCACAAAAAAGTTTAAAAATACACTTGAGATACTTAATCAAAGATTCATTCACATCACAGAAAGTTTTATAAGAATTTATGTAAGTATTTCAAACATTTTGAAAGCACAGATCGTGTACTAAATTATTAATAATTAATGTAAAACACACACACACACACACACACACACACACACACACACACACACACACACACACACACACGCACGCACGCACGCACGCACGCACGCACGCACGCACGCACGCACGCACGCACGCACACACACACACACACACACACACACACACACACACACACACACACACACACACGCGCGTGCGCGCGCACGCACTCATACAATATCAAATTATTTCAAATAAGAATTCCTTAGATAAATAGTACTAAAATGTTAATTGATAGCATGTTGTGTCATCTTTAAGTGATTGTACATTTAAAAATAACACAACCGTAAATTCTAATTAACGATGTCATAATGTATCAATCGTTGCTAATCCTAATAAAGAGAAAAAGAAGATCATACCTACGTAACTGTAAATTTGTTTAATTTCCACGCGCACGAAGCCGAGGTAAAAAGTGTATTTAAATAAAATCATAACGTATTATTTTTTACCTTAATCCACCAAGGAATTTTTCTTTTTCATAAACAGTGATGTCTTTGTAGCCCAGCCTAGCCAAAAAACAAGCGCAACTGATGCTGGCAGGGCCTCCTCCAATTAAAGCAATCTTATGATGTCCGCCCGTAGGCAGAGGCTTCGTTTTGGGGTCGAGCGTTTGGCGGATTCCCATTTTCATGAAGATCTGAAAATTTTGTACATACAAGACGAAAAATTGGCACACAAAAATACAGGAATTTATATGCCTTTTCCCTTTTTTATTTTTTAGCGTGTAAAGCGACATGGTTACCTCTCAGGCGAGTTAACTATCGCAGTACTAAACTTATCTGCCTGTCGACGGTCTTACTACTTTACGTCGGGCGTAAATGACCAGGAATAAAGGTTATACAGCCATTTATCAGCATATGTTTCTGGTATTTTCTAGAATCGCCCTTTTACGAAACACACGGAACGAAATGAGGTGATAGATTCTTTTTCGCCGCCTCCGTACGGCTAAGTTTTTCCTTCCGTAATAAATAAAATTGTTAGTTGCAATTTTAAGTTCTGATATACCGCGTAAATTCCTCATGTCTGAGAGATTAAAATTAAAAAAAAAATATTTTGAGGTTATGTGATATCTGCAAAATCGCATTTGGCAGCACAGATGATTATATCTTGATCCAAAATTCTCTCAGAAATGAGAAGTAGGCCTGTGTCCAGCGGTGGGACGTATGGTACTTAACGTTAATTTACTGGTTACCTTCTTTTGTATATAAGTATACATTATATATTATGACCCAGTGAGAATGCTCATAGTTACTGCCTACTAGGTAATATTTGCAAAAACTCAAATTGTTGGTTTTGTTTCTGGACGTGCTGTAATTTTTTCAAGTCATTGAAAATATAAGTGCGATGGTTTTTGATAAAAAGGCTAAAAGACTTTTGCGCGTGTTTTTGTGGCATTACATGGTCTGCATACGTAGCACCGTCAACCGATTTAATATTTGGGAAGGGTCGTCATAGTCGAAATTGGAAAATAAAGGTATAGTTTATTATATATATAGTTATTCAAGTTATTTCCTTAAATTTTAGTAAATGGGTCGTTATTAAAAATTAAATATTAAACTTACATCAACAGCAAAATGTTGCAAACCACCAATATTAATAGCACCTTCCTCGCTGGCGTGCAGATTGCAGCCGCCTACACAGAGGTCGCTGGTAGGGCACACCATGCCACAGGTTAATCCAAGTGGGTTATCAGAAAGGATGGCTTTAGCTGCACCGTAGTAGTTCTGTGGAAAGAACGTTAGACAGCTCGGTGACCCAGTAGCTAAAGGGGTGAGACGATGTAAGAATGTGGGGTCGAATTCCGCACCGTTATTTTATACTTATAACTTACAAATAATTGTTCCGATGTTTTTGGTGTTTGAATGTTACAATGAAAAATAAAAAGATATTTTGAACAAGGCATTGCTTATTTCATATTACACTGGACAGATTCAAATTGAAGCAGATTGAGTGTGCAATCTCATAATAAATGATATAATATTAATATACATAAAATTAAATAAATATAGCAAATACATAAAACTAGTTTTTACGTAAGTAATATGTATGACACGGCTTCACAAAATGATACAAATTCCTAGTGTAATGATTTTTATCAAAAATATTTCTAAATGTATTCCCAGGTTCCCAATAGCTAAACAATTGAAAGGTTCTTCTATGATACATGGGACAGGAAAACGGTTAAACGGTATGTATGGTATATATGGAATGCGTTTTATCGATCCAAATATCTAGGAAGGAGGGCTATGTATATGATTCATAGTATTCTCCCTCACATCTCACACCTTTCCCGTTACCTATTCTTTGGAATTCTAGGCTACTTTATATCCTTGAGTCCTTTAAATTTATTCAATTTGAAATAGTTAACCGGCCACTACCTTCTGTCGGAGGTTATAACATTTGCCTAGCATGCTTTACGATCTGCGGAGATGGTGTGACGCCTTGTAAACTTATTACTTAGTACCGCATTTGTAACCGAGTAGCCTGGTGGTTAGAATGTCTGGCTACTATGTCACAGATCTTGGGTTTAAAACCCAAATGAAGTAAGCATTTGTGCAAAAATACAAATTACTGGTTTTCAGTTCTGTGTTGGTGTTACTGTACCAGTGTTCCTAGCACTTCTTCCCGTTGTTAGATCAATCTTATCGCAAACGCACGGGTGGGTTAGGAACATAGGACGAGTGAGTTTCTGTGTGAGCGCGTTAATTAGAGTACTTACTATATTTTTTGCGCAGTGGATAGCTTGCGACTTATGAGTCATGTTGACTTACTACGTATAAGTACACATCATGGTCAACATTGTTGTATGTACGGTAATTCGTATGTGTGTGTGTGTAGCAATTATATCGGTCTGGTAAAAACGCCAGTGTTAGCCGATTCCACAAAGTCATGTGAGGAAGAAAACTCATAAAAAGTGGCACAGTGGTGAACCCCCAAGCATCCAGATTCCAGAATTAAGAACAGTATTCGGCAGCTTGAATTAATCAGACCAACTACTATCTGTTGGACTGTGTGCTCGTTTGTCACCCTCACTATTATTTGAAAATATATTTTTTTTGTATGGAGATGTGGATGCGCGGGGGAAAAAAGCTGGTCTTTAAATTTCACAACACGCGAGAATATCCAACACCACGAGCTTGGCTGTAAAAAACAGTTTAGGATCTAAATAAAAATTAATAGAACTAAATAAAAATGATTATTTAGTTAAGACACCTTTACAATATTCATAAATTTCTGAGCACTCCCCGTTGTAGATACAATAGAAAATGCAAAGTGATGCCACATATCTTCGCAGCATAACTGAATCGAGCCGATCAGAAAGAACTCGATATTCAACTATTCGTGCCGCTCGTCGCTGGATGCGGTAAAGTATAAGGAGGTGACAATGGGTTGTCCCTGCCCAGGGATGAGTACAGTGTGTCAGTGTGAAATACTGACCTGCTCCGACATCCGAATCGAAATCCGAGACCAATTTAGCCTTCCCTTCCAAAAGACCGCATAACTGAACGTCATACGATATCTCAATATCAAGGATTTCGATTCTGGCTGAGGCAGCAAGGGGAGTGCTCTGAAATTGAGAATATACGATAACGGGGTTCTTTTTAGTAGTAAACGCGCAAACCCGAATCTTATGAGGGTTAAACTGAACCAGAATTAGAACGAGTCCTCAATTCGATACTTTCACGTGAGTCTTTCCCGTTAGTTTAACTATTGTGTCTTTTTCGCGAACAGGGAAGTTCTTAAGACACAAACTTGTTCAACAATTGACTGACACAATTCCTGAATCATTCGCTTGTTTTAAAAATTAGCCAATTGTCAACGATAATAGCAAATTACTTACCCTATTGGCGATGCTGGTGATGAAGCTCTTGACGTCTATCTGTGTGGGACAGGACTTCTGGCAAGGAGCGTCGGCGCACTTGAGACACCTCGCTGCCTCACGAAGAGCCCCGCGCTCCGATAGCGTCGTGTGCTTGATGTCGTCAAAGTTTTTCTCCAGAGATGGACACGTCTTTGGAAAAGAAGTACATACATATATAAATTTACACGTCAGTTACCTAGAAAGGTCTATTAAATCTCTCACTTATTTCACATCCATACATGTTCGTCAGTTAAGGGCACCCTTAATTTGGCCCATCATCAACATTTCGCCAATTAAGTCGATAAACTTTCGTCTAGAGCGTCCCTTGTTGACTCTGGTACTCACTTGGTATAATATTGCTTTATAACCCTTTCCTCATTCATTTCTTCTACGTGGTCAAAACGCCAAAGCATTATTTTATAAGTAATACCAAAATTAGTAGGCACATATTGTATGCACGTCATTTAAAGTACATTTTTACTTCACCATCATCATCAGCCCGTGAAAGTCAACTGCTGAATATTGTTCTGTCATGTTGTAAGGAGAACTTGCCAAAATGTCAAGCAGATACAGACGTATCGCACCTTTGAAGCAGCTGCCCCTCGTCTTTCTGCATATTTTTCGCCTGTCGTGAGTGATATGCTCGTACTACCGTCTATCGAAATCCATACGGTTTTCTGACATTTCCCATAGTCGCCTTTTGCAGACCTATGGCACAAAATGGAGTGATGGATTACGTGTAGCCGTGTAGTGCGACGTAACAGAATCCACTGGTACCCCATTTCATCCCGTGGGTGTCGTAAGAGGTGACAGAAGGAAACTGAGGAGATGGGGAGCAGCATCTTCCCGATACCATATATTTTCAGTTTATATTTTTTTTTTTTATATACAAGAGGGGCAAACGAGCACGCGGTTCACCTGATTGTGACTATCGCCGCCCATGAACAACCACATGGCCAGCGGAATTGCAGGTGCGTTGCCGGCCTTTTAGAAAGGAGTAAGCTCTTTTCTTGAAGGTCCCTAAGTCGTTTCGGTCCAGAAAAATCGCCGGTGGTAGACAATTCCACAGAGAAGTTGTACGAGGATGATAAATCTTAGTAAAACGCAGAACGGTAGACCGCCAAGCATCCAGAACATCCAGAATTTTCCTGATAGAACTCAAAATATTCAAGAAGATGATAAGAGCACAAAATAAAAATATTAATATTTTAAAATCTTCTCAAGAAAATGCTAATGCGATTGCCAATCCGCTTGCCAAGCGTGGCAACTATATCAAATATGTGTATCTCCCTATGAGCCAGTCTATGGGCAGAACTAGCAGTGGACTTTTATAGACTGTGATGATGATGATGATGATTCTCTTATGCCGCCACCACACGGCAAAAGGCACGCAATTTTAATATCCTAATGTAATACAATGTTCTGAATATACTGAATGACCTTTTTTACCGTTTGGAAAAAATAGGGTGTAACATGTGAACGGAGTAAGAAGCCTTATGGCACTGATATTTTACAAAAAATAAAAACGAAAATTTTGAAATAAATAAATTAATTAATTAAAATCTATCGAAAATCAAATCATATCCACCCTACTTTACGAACGGCAATAAAACAAAACAAAATTTTTGTTTTTATTTTTTGTAAAATATCAGTGCCATAGGCTTCTTACTCCGTTCACATGTTACACCCTATTTTTTCCAGACGGTAAAAAAAGTTATCCAGTATAAATCACTACGTTTACTAAAAAGTTAATTTCTAATAAGTAATGACATTACATAGTAGCTGTTGTGTTCATCTTATTAAATATAGAATATAAACTCACCGTGCACTTCCTGTCAGCATTGCGTTTCCAATGTTGTTTGTTCTTTTTAGTTTGAGCTGAGGGCACTAAGTTGGTGTAAGGTTTGACGGTAGGATTTAACCTCAACAGATTCTGTGAATATTACAAAAACACTATACAAGAGGAGGTAAACCTTTGCGTTAAGGGGAAATATAATGTCAAATGGCTTAGCAAGATCCTTCGTTATGCCGAAAATATTGCAGCATTAATTTTGAAATTAATATATGGTAAAGTTGAGGATTAATGTTAATGATTATGTTAGACGAAAACACGATTTCGTAAAATTTTCTCGATAGAAAAAAAATCCAAAGTTACCTCCAAAATGAAAAATAAACCGCTGCTATACATAAAATACTTTAAATAAGATCTTGAAACTTTGCATACTAACTGAACTAACTATAAAGCAGTGCTTATGTTATTTACTTTTTTTAAAATACCATTATTTTCACTGTAAAAAGAAATTACCTAAACTATCGGCGTCTTGAGCTTGATTGCTGTCGCACCGTTAGTATCTCTAGTATATAGTTAGTAACTTAGTAATTTGTTACGCTTAGGCTTTTGAAGGGAGAAGTTGTGTCGCTTACGCTCAGAATACACATTACGCAACAGTACGACGTAAAATTAAAATGGGAAATAACCGTTATAAAAATAAGAAGCGGCTGGCTTGGCGTTAAGAAACAGGCATAAATATGATAAACCTAATGAAATAAGTGTCTAACGACCTTTCTACTTACAGTATTAGTGATTACAAACATATCGGTACATAGCATACGACGCGCGGGGAAGTGGGGGCGAAATTAGAATTTGAGCTGACTTACTCTATCCTCTTAACAGCATAGCACAGTAGGATGTACTTTTTTGTAACATTAATGCTTAACCTGGGCCTCTCTCATAGTAGTTCGGCAGGAATATGATTCGGCCGGTTCTCATTCCCTAAATAATTCTCATCTCATTCTATATGTAAAATTCATAAAGTCGCCAGCAGAGTGTCTTCGCTGTTCTCAGAGTGTCGTGTAAACTGTCAAACCACAACTGGTTGCTATTAAAATGAAATGAATCATATGTATCTAAAATTCACTTCTTTTTGTTGCACCAACGAAAGCGAAACACACAATATTTTCAATGACCTAAAGTACAATTATCTTATCTAATATAATAAATATCTATGCAGCTCGGGGGTTTACAGAAGTTAACGTTAGATAAGATTAGCTAGTTTATCTTTAAATGTAACTTATTTAATACTAGCTGTTTTCTGCGACTTCGTCCGCTTGGAATTTATCACAGTGGATATCAGGGTTTGAATTTTTTTGTGTGGGACCCTACTTCATTTTCTAAAATAAAGCTTAAGTTACTCCGTATAACATCTGCCCTTGAAAGTCCCGTCAAAATCGGTCCAACCGTTTTAAGGATTAGCCAATTTTGATGATTATATTTTTATCTGAAGGCTGGTGCTTCCCGTGTGGTCCCTTATTGATCGAAGGTGGTCATAAAAATTTAATCAAGTTCTGTAGATCTGATCAGTAATTTTTGAGTTATCTTTAATTATGCGTATTTATTTGGCGTCGAATACATTGATATAATTCATACGTAGGTAATTTCTTGAATCTTATAACTACTTTATTTAGATGTCATCATTATCATGTGACATTGCTCTATCTATCTACGATAACCTAACTGTAAATTGTGACTGCTATGACGGAGTGTCATTATGTTGCATAGTCAGTTGTGGTTGTGGGATAAAACAAAAACGTAATGATAACAGAATATTTCATATTATGAGCCGTGTTTACTATTTACATTAATTTATCGTAATTGATATTAACCAGTATATACTTATATTAGTTTTTATAAAAAATGATTTGCTACTTAGAGTTATTTTGAATTTTAAAAGCTATTTTATAAAAAAAAGATAAATACACCTTGAGGTTATGAAATGCTTTTTTAAATCTTGAGCGATTGAGCGAAATCGTTCCGGAACTAGCAAAAATAATGGTTGTTTAAGAGAACTTGGTTCCTATCCTTTGACTTCTTTATAAGTGTAAGAAAACGAGCATACGGCTCACCTGATGGTAACTATCACCGCCGCCACAACAGCAACAACAAGGGAATTGCAGGTGCGCTGTGGCGTTAATAATGTAATTCATATCTCTAAGATTACTATTCTATTCTCGGGTATAATATTCATTATATTAATATTATGCATTACCTTAGACAATTTTTAAAAAAATATTACCTAATATGTTACCTAATTTCTTAAAGTATACATAAGCAATCTATACTCTAAGCGTAATTTGTCGTTTTTTTATTTAAATTATAATTGTTAACTCATTCATGTACGAGTGTGGGGCAAAATTGTATAAAAAAAGTCGTTAGAGGTAGATAGGTATATTAATATGTATAAATTACTCTTAGAACCAGTATAAAAACTGAATTAAACATATCAAAAATTACATAAAATACGTTTTATTTTACTTTAAGAACTTTAGCCTTGCAACTTGTACGTGGCTAATCGCTGTATTGCCTTGTTCAACTTTGTACCTTGTTTTAAAGACAGAATTCTTTTGTTGTGTAGTTATTTACTTCTATATTTTGTATTTTAAATATCAATTAGGATTTAAATCACATTGAAATTTTGATTAAAGCTTTATGGATATGTTTTTCTGGTTTTGATCATTAAGTATTAGTTTACATAAATAAATAAAAAAAATTATGCACTTCATTAATAATCATATCCTGCATTATATTAAAAAAATGGTGATACTCTAAGCCTAAGAAATATAGAAGTATCTAGCAATATGTATGTATAGGTATGTATGCAATTGCAGTATAAAAATTAAGAATTAAATAATTTTCTTTGAAATCTAACTAGTTTTATTCTTTGAATTTAATTGAATAAAAAAGAATTTCAAATGATGACCTAATATATAAAATAAAACAATTGTTATTTGTATAATACTTAAGTAATAATTCCAATTGAATTTGATCTCTGAATATCCGTGAAGGTTGATCAACTAATAAATCATGAATGTAAATAAAACATTACAAAGCGAGTATAAAAGCAACAATCCTCGCTATGCTTACTGACCTCGATGTCCGGTAACTCTTGACTCAATACTTTCGCCATGTTGCAAATCGAACTTTATCTAATAGGTATTTATAAATAGATTGTGATTAAAAGTGCGATTGTTTACTAATGTTTTACATATGCAGCGCAGTGGACTACTCACTGGCAGCGCCACGGCTACTACTGGCCGAACTCGAACTGGCCTTTATAGTATATTATCTATGGCAACAACTGTCACTGATCAAGGATGCGAATGAACGGTAATAATCTTTGTGTTGTAAGTTGTAACCATTTTAAATGGATCTCTGTTAATATAGCACACGTTAAAGTGGACAGATAAATATGATGAGAAATAGAGATAAAAATTCCAGTCAAATCTTTGAATGTTTGCCATGTTAAAATCGGAAATAAGGTGGGTGAACAAAGTATTACTTAAATATTTGTTAGTTTCATTTATCTAGTAAATAAACGAATAATAACTATTTGTTAGAGTGGCCTTCCATGGTACACCCACCTTATACCTTTTTAGTGTGAAAACTAAAGATGTAAGAGTATTAAAAGGGAAGGATTTTTTGTACTTTCTAGCATTATTTTCTACTTTCTAGCATTATTTATAATAACTTTATGTGGTAATAATGTATTTTTATAAGCGTAACAGGTAAATTTGATAAAGTTTAAAAAAATACAATATCAACATATTATAACATATAAAATTTTTAGACTGTTGTTAGGGAATACGTGGATAAGTTATCCAATATTGTTTATGATTTATTTTTTATCTTTGTCCAACACTTAACTCGATAAAAAATCACTATGAAAGCGATACGAAGATGCGGCAAAATAAAACCAACATTTGAACAGTTAATATAAATATATTTTGAATTATTCAGAGGCTTCACAATATTTGGAAGAATTAATCGACGGCCGACCGATCGACTTACGCGTTGATCGGTCGCATCTCTAACCATATACATTTTATTATTTGTATAAAAATAATATTATACAAGCCAATACACCTGAATGAAAGCGTGTGACACAATACATTGAATCGCGTTGTGGTACACACAATTCATATGATTAACAAGGACAATAACAAAGACTACCACCAATAAATGACGTCTGTACACACATGGAAATAGACAGGATTAATTTAGACTAAATACGTTTTATGCGCTAACGATATTACCGAATATGCGATGCTTGTGTAAACTATGAAACTATCTCTGGTTTCCTCGCTTTAGATAGCTTCACAAGCAACTTTTAAAATATTTCAATAATTACTAAATTAAATGGGTGTGTGCTATTGTGTCAGCCTATACTACCTTCCCATTAGGTCACTGAATACAGGTACGAGCTTGTTTTTGTTTATAATAAGAGAAACTACTGAATAATTTAATAAATACTGAATAAAAGATTAATTGTACAATTACAAAACATTAGACATTTTAGGGATATGACAAAAATAAAATAAAATATATGAACGGACATGCACGTACATACGCACGCACGCTTGTACGTACGCACGCACGCTTATACCTACGTACGTACGCATACTCGTACACAGTAAAATCGGACTCTAGTGTCTCCAAAATGTGGATATGTTATAAATTTACAACAACTTACAAATGGGAAGTAAAAAAATCTGAAACACAATCGTTATAATGCTAATAATGTTATATGAAATAATTCATTTGAAGATAAAATATTATTTATGTAGCATAGGAGGAAGGTACAGGTTAGCGCACACTTCAAAGTTGTTTTAACAAAAGATTCACTAACAATACCAAGTATATTTGTAACTAATAAAGAAATGCGTTGCCCCCGCCCTTCTTAAAATGACACTAGTTACAAAAATGCAACACCAAAGTAAATGGTGCGTTCAACTTAGTTCGTTTAGTTTAATACTAATCTATCGTTATTTACACGCTGATTCTTCTAAATATTTGCATCTGAACAATACATACATTAAAATCTTACCTCTAGTGTACCTATTCGTGCAATTGCTCATGCTTTTTATAACCAAAATTAAAACAAAAAGAAAAAGTGACCAGTTTTATTTTGAATATAAGAAAATATCTATGGCATCGTATTAGCGCTTCGAAAAAGCGATCACAATTGCACGCCACTTAATACGCTTACGTTTACTATCTATTACATTTTATTTACTTAGGAGCGGATTTAGACAGTAATTAACATATAATCTACTAAAAACACCAGAGTCGAGATATTAAAATAATTAGGCGATTAAAGGAATACATTCACATTTACAAGAAAATGTAGAGGCCGTGTCGACAGTCAATTAAAGCCTAAACCCATTATCATTTATCACATTTTCGACGAAAAATGGCTCCTTTAGTAAACTTCAACACAATTGCAATCGAATTGAAAAGGACAGTATAAAGCAATAGTTAAATGTCCATTGCAATGTAGACTATTTATAATGCTAATTAGTTGTGCGGTTGCTCACAGTACCCATTGGTTAATTTACGACTTCACGTAAATGCGACTTTAGTCCCTATACATATAAATACAGTGTATCGATATTGGTTGAAACATTCGCTTTTATATTACTTAGACAAAACAAAGAAAAAACTCCGTTTATGTCCATCAAATATAGAATAATCAAATGGAGCTGCGGAAATTCCAAAACAAATAAGGAATCAACAACATTTTGTCAAATTTCTAGCTGTAGTCTATTCCATTTTTGTATTCTGAGCATCAAGTAGATTGTTTTAATTTTAGTTCAACTGCTTTTACTTTATGTATACTGAGATGAGGTTTTCGATAAAATTCTCAAATTTTATTCGTTATTTCTTTAGTTATCGATGCTTTTATAGCTTACTCAGTATTAAGTTTTTATCTCAAGGTTTTCTAGGATAGGATCGTGTCACCTTGTGCCCCTTCCTATGCCTACAATAATAAATAATACACTATAACCCATTGCATTCCCCATTCCATATAAATTCATTTGTCGTAGTTAAGTATTGATACGGATTGTATTTTATATGTAAAGGTTTAAAACTAGACTTTTCTTCGACCTAATACTAACACGCATTGACAGTTCGAAGTGCGTGAAAATAATTTCATAGCACTCATAAGCAGAATAAGTAAAAATGATATCCAAAAATTTTATTCTCCTAATGACGTGTAATAATTTAATGTATAAAATGTCGACGTTGTAAGTAATGAAGTAGATTATCGCCATTGTGGACACAATCACACCATACATACTTCTAACCGAAATAACAAATTCGACTGTTTTTCATTGACGATATGTGTTGGTTGTGACTTGTGTTAGCAATTTATAAGGAAAAATCGCTATTGGTTAAAATAAATACGTAAAACGAGATGTTTCAAAATGTAGGAAGTCTGCGTCAGGTTTTTGTACATTATATTAAAAAAGAGTATGGAGGGTAATGGCAAAAAGGACTATCACTGTGTATGAAAAATTGTCCGTCAAAATGCGTTAAATAAACATTATTATATGTAAAAAATTAATTTGGACTATTTTAAAAAGTTTTAAAGCAGTTTACACTATAAAATTACTAAACGTGTGTGAAGTTCACAAAAATAAAATCACTCAACGTTTTTTCACAGTAATTATTTTAGGTTATATTTAAAAAAGTATTTTTGGACTACGTGAATAGTTGAAGTTTTGTATAATGTACTGCTACTCTAATCACCAAAAATATATATTTTTTTAACTCGGTATACTTCATCCCATCTGCAACTGCTACATTCATACCATACCCTGTAGCGCCATTCTGTTAGGTTTCTGAACTGTTATTTACAGCTTAGGTTACACCTGGACACTTTTTCATCTTGTCCGCCATATGCGATAGTTTTCCTTACTTCTACCCTCCGTAATAAAGAGAAATTATTTTTGTTTATTTTTTTCTAGTTCAAAACAAGAACCTATGCTTTTTTCTCTTCAATATAGCCTTTGATATTGTGGTTAGGTCACAATAATTCTGCTATTTTCCGACGTGAAAAAGAAGTTGGCGGTTTTAAGTGATAATGTGGCTTAAAACAAAACCCAACTAAATACAGAACTATGGACAACTCAATACAGAACAAACATCTAGTTATGGGAGGGGGAGTGTTAAATTCGGATTTATGTTTGTAATTTCAATACCTAAACAAACAAAAAACTATGATGGCGGTAACATTATGTCATTTGGTCAATGACGTATGATATAATATTAATAATCTTTCTTTGTTAATAGACTTATACTGTTGTACTTTAGCCAGTGTAAAGTAACTAAAATAAAGCTTGAACCTATATATGTAGCACTGCCAGAAACTTATGCAAGAGTTTTAGGACAAGGAATGTCCACTGCACTGTCCCAATGTGTGTTGGTGGACTCCACATATCTTCGAAATATTATTTTCTCAGATATATAAGTTGCCTCGCGATGTTTTCCTTCAACGTAATTTTTACATGTATTCTTTCCAAATTGAACATATTTTTCGCAGTTTTTTGAAGTATTGTACATATTACACTTTGGAACATCTCATTTTTCATATAAAAGACATTTTTTTAAATATATTGTCCGGTGATAATAGCTTCTTATAAAAAAAAATAAAAAAAAAACTTAAAAAATGACAATTGACATAAAACAACTTTTCACAACAATGATTAAATTTTGCATCCGCTTCAAACTCATTTGATTAGGGAAATTTGAAATTTTATTAATTTCAACAATCATGAATCAATTTCATTTTAGCGTTAAAGCCGTTACATTTTTATAACCATTTGATCTAAAATAATATTTTAAAACGATATTACATAAATTAGAAATTTAACACTTTAGAACAATGAGTGTGAGCATTAAGGTTGTAAACACTTCCTTATTGAATACTGAATGTACTTATAGCGACCCCTACAATGAAATACAACAATTGGAAACAAAATAAGCAATAATAATTCGAAAAATATAATCTCTGTCTAAAACAAATTTCAACAATTCCATTTACAACCACCGCCGAACGAATACATAATTTTTTTTGTGATTCAAACAATTTACGGTGGGCGGTGAATTTTGTTTTCGGCAACAAAG